TAAGTAATAGTATAATAGTAAGTGTTTTTGAATATGCATGACCTTAGTTTGACCCCTGAAAGAGTACCCAGTACCCAAGGGAAAGTAACGATGATCAAAGGACAGCCTTTCGGGTCGATGCGGAGCCTTTTAGGAAGCCGTTGAGCGACATTCTTAAGATGGAATAGCGCTGATTAGCTGGGAGATTTTATAGTGGAATATTAATAAATAATAGTGAGGAGAGGGAATTATAATGAAAATGCGATGCGTATTGAAATGGAAGATTTCAAGGTCGAAAAAGGTGTGCCTTTTTGTGTTGAATTCTGAAACAAAAGGGTGTGATGTAGGTAGATAAAAGTGATTGGAAGGTGTGATTAATTGGTGATTGATCTTATCGTGCGATTCGATCTGCCGGCCGTAAAATTGTTGATCATGCGCTTGATATACCCGCAAATGCAGCAGCAGCAGCAGCAGATCATTCAGGGTGAAGCAATTTTCAGGGAGAGTAAAATAATAAGTAGTAAAGTAAATAAGTAATAAGTAAAAGTAAAAATAAGGAGAGTAAAAGTAAGTAATTTAGCATGTGCAATCGGAACGTATAAAGCGCAGCTGGGTGATGCCGAGTGTAAGCCGTGTCCCGGTAACAGCATCTCGACATCGAAAGCGAGTCTGGAGTGTCAATGCGATGCCGGATACTACAGGGCCGACGGCGAGTNTGCCTTGCACTCGTCAGTTATTATTACTCTTTATATTAGCAGTAATATTGATCGATATTGATCGTGATCACGGTGATTGATTGTGATTGTGATCAACTGTGATTTCAGAAGCACCCTCGAAACCGTCACGTCTGACCGCGGTTCGAATCGACACAACATCCGTGATGATCGAATGGGATGAACCATCGATGCTGGGTGGCAGAAAGGTTACTTAATATTACTAGTATTACTGCACTAAAGATGAGCAGATCAGCGAGCGATCGCCACAGTGATCGATCGGCAGATCAGCGATCGATCGATTGATCGAAAGCTGCTGATTTCAGGAGTTATGGTATCGTTATAAGTGTACGTCATGTCCGCCGAGTACACGCGCAATTCCGGCAGAGAAGACGTTTACCGGGCGACGACTCGAGCTGTCTGGACTGGAGGCGGGTGGCACGTACACGGTGATGGTGTTCGCCGAGAATAAGGTGTCCAAATTCAAGAGTGATCTGATGAGTGAATACGCGTTGATCGAGTTCACTACGAGGTGGTTATTATTATTTGTTATTTATTATTATTGTTATTATATTTGTTATTGTATTCATAATATTACTATTTAGGATTTTGTATATTGATTGTAGTTTGTTGTTATATTGTAGATTAATATTATATATTGATTGATAATACTATATTGTAATTGTAGTTTGATCTAATATTGATTGTCTGAGGTTTTTGTAGTTTGTAGTTTGATTTGTTTTGATGCTACCTTTTAAATCAATACGAGCGCGCGCGCGTGTCAGTGTGCTTACGTGGGCGCGCGCGCGGGCGAGTACGCGAGCGTGCTGCTGCTTGCGTGCAAGCGTTGCGCCCACGAAGTGAAAAGGCGCTAATTGAGTATTTGAATTGAATTTATTCACTGTTGTTGATATTATTAATATTAATATTATTATTATTTATTATTATTAATATTATTATTATGATTGAGGTCATTGACTCCGATGTTGGTGAGTGAACTGCGTGTGGAGGGAGTGCAGCAGAACGGCGTGACGCTGGCTTGGAATGCGCCGGTTTTGGAAGGGAATGGCCACAGTAAT